ATTAGGAGGACTATATTGTATACACGGTATATAAATGTTTGATTACTCATATAGATTGTGTGTGTGATTAGCATATTTAGCGGTAAGTTGAAGTTAGAGTGGGGGGGAATGGGAGGTAAACTAGTTGGGGTCTTAGCTCATTTATATAATATATATATATATATATATATATCTGGCCAATAGGTTATATATACAGGAGGAAAGCCTATTGTCAAACAAATTAAATTGCTATCATCGTAAAAGTGTACAATAATATTTAGCTATACTCTATATGTGTGTGTGTATTGAACTTAACTTATAATACGGTAGTTAATGTGATGCACCCCTTTGATTGCATTTACACTAAATGAAACAATTTCTACATATAATTTATATATAAGTTTAGTATATATATATACTGTATAAATATATTTTAAGATATTGTGTATAAAAATAAAATAAATTTCTGTCTCCAATTGTTTGAAAATAAATTGCATTTTATATATTTTTATCAACTATTTGTATGAGTCATACATTATATAAATATACTATGAAATAGTGTTTTATCTATAAAATATAATATATATATATATATATATATATATATATATATATATATGGAATATACTGTATAATATAAATGTATAAAATCAGTATTATTGCTATTATGATAATTTTTTTGTGAATAAAAATTGATCTCAAGTATTATATACATTTAACATGTTTAATGTTTTTTAGTTAAGTCAATCAATCAATACAATCAGGGTATATATATTCAATGTGTGTACATTAGATATAATTAACATTTCAAATGTTAATACACAAAAAAATAAATTTGACAATTTATTTGTATTAAAAAAAAGTTAAAATGTAAAATGAAATATTTTTTTTTGAAAAAAACTATTGTGATTTGATAATTAGTATAAATTTTGTAATATTAGATTAGAAAAAAACTATATCATTTTATATCATCATATATAATCATTTAATTCAATTTTATTCAATTTTATCAATCGTTTAAAATAATTAAATTTTTTAATTAAATTTTTGAAATACAGTTTTACAAGTTTATAACAACAAAATTATAAAATTAGTTATTTATTAAACAAAAATACTATTTATTTTTTTAAGTGTTGTTTTCGAAATTATTTATTTTTGCAATTTATTTTATTCATTGAGAGAAACTTTTTCCGCAAACTTTTTCGGTAAATTGTTTGTCAATTAAAAGTCTATCAATTGATTGCGTGATTTGAATTTTTTTTTATCAAATCACTCGTATTTGATTGAGACGTATAGTCCCTCATAATCCCTGTCCTCTACTACTACTATCTGTACGTTATCTAACTGATCACAGAGATTAGTTGAAATACAATTTACAGAAAATAAATGCATTTAACGACTAAATTATTGCCAAAATGATCTCATAAATTGTAAGTCTAATAATTAAAATCAATTATTTATTTATTTTTTAAAAAAATTAAATCATTATTAATTGTGATTATAATTATTTAACTATTTATTTTAAAAAATAAAATTTTAGGTAATAATAATAATAATATAATTAATTACTAATAAAACAAAATTTAATAGTTTTGAAATTAACTATTTATTTATTTTTCAAAAATTATTATATCAATTAATGTTAACATTTAATTAAACAGATATTTTTATATAATAAAGTAGTAGTATTAATAATAATTGTACATTAATTATGACTAGAAAATTAATTTAAGTAATTAAAAATATAAATATAAATAGTTTTATTAATAAATTAATATTAATAATGTTTTATTTTGACTAACAATTAAACAATTATCTACTAAATAATGAGATAAATTTAATCTCCGATTATAGTGTAATAATAATATATTATATGGACTTCACTATAGATTTATATACAAAATGTATTAAAATTTATTTATAAATTTTGTTTAAAAAAAAACAAATAAAAAATAATATTTACCGTAAATTGAATATCAATTCTAACCAACAAATAAAAAATTTTGATTATCTTTTTCACTGACTGATACACTACCGCTCAGTTAGTCAGTTAGCTAACCGATGATGACTTCACGATCGATACACCGATCCATATATTGTTCTGTATTGTCTACATAGGGTCGAAATGTCTGTCTACTATCGGTAAAAACGGTCGGATTCATTACAATGTTATGCAACTGGACTTCATTGATAGCCACCGATTGCCGTACAAATGTCGTCCAATGTTTGTACAACTCTTCGACGGGACTCAAAAACGGTGAAAACGGCGGCAAAAACAACACAGCACTGTGTCCACCAGTGGCGGTCACAATATCGGCAACAGCGTCAGTATTGTGATGGTTGTCCACAATCAGTTGCACACTATCGCCGATTAGATCAGTTTGTGACAGCAATTGTGACAAAAACATTGGAAAGTTATCGGTATTGACAGCTATCTCCTGGACGTCCATCCGATACACGCGATCAGCGCTCATAGCGCACGACAAGCCGTAGGTTCGGCTACGGACTTTGGCCATAGATTTTTGATTACCAGTGACATTACTGGTACTGCGTTCGGCCGCCGTTATGTTGTTACTTGATCTACGCGACCATATCTGTACAGCAATGAAACCGACAAATATCAGTTGCCTATTGGCGGCGGCAGCGTCGGCCACTAATTGTCGGTAATTGACTGCATAGTTGTGTCTGGCGTCGACCACATCGGTACTGTTGTCCACCAATGGTAGAGACGACACCCGTTTGAACGAAATGTGAAAATCTTTGATACATTTAGTGATTGTTTGACCCGAAATCGATTTGACCGACGGAAATGTCACCAAAACACGTTGCGACAACTGCTCCAATGTTTGAGTGCAATCGTCGTCCAGCCAACCGCTTACGATCTCCATTTGCCGGTTGGTCAACGACCGCGGCCGGTGTCCAGTTGGTTGTTTTGTACGCAAACCGGTTTCCTGGAATTGTTTGTAAATGTTCGACACTGTACTGTGTTTGAGGCCAAACATGTTGGCCACCCGTACACAGGACAGTCCGCTGTTCATGCGATCAATAATATCGCTACGCATCTCATCCGATATCTTATGGTATTTGTTTCGCTTGTTGTTTACCACAGCTATCATCTTCTGAACTGATGATACATTATTGACGGCACTACCAGTCTTGTGGCTTACATTCATGTGACACTTTAGTTGGCGATTCAAACGGAACCGCTGGTGACAGACAAGACATTCAATAATATTGTTGTTGTTGTTGTTGTTAACAACAATGTCCTCCACCTCTTCTTCTTCTTCTACTACTACCGTTTCATGTCTTCTTCTACCACCGATTGTAGCTGTAGTCTCGTTTGAGTCATCTTTGATTACCACCAACTGTGGCGACGATGAAGACGACATCATTTCTGTTATCAACTCTAACTCTTGTTCAGCCAATTGGCTGTCGTTTGAGTCGTCCATTGATTGATTGTTGCCGTTGTCGTCGCCAGCAATGGTGTCGGCTGTCACATGAGTCGGCGAAGTTCGCTGACGGTGGCGATGGCCGCCAATACTTTTACAATTTGTGGTCATTATCGACTCGTGCGGTTGTGATGGTAGCGACCGACTACTAACCGCCACTTGATTAGTGCCGCGATTCCGCCGATATCTCATCAACTGTTGATATTTTGTGTCCAAATCGGACAACTCGTTCATTAGGCCACCACTGCATCGGCATACGCACAGTGCCCGCCACTGGCCAGTATACCGACGGTAAACGTCTAGCACTCGGTTTAGTTGCCGTTCAAATTGTAACTCATCGGCCAATCGGGTATTCTCGCGGATCAGATCGTCGAACAGTGTGTCCACTATCGGTGATGACGACGAAGACGACGACCGCTGATGATAACCGCTAGTCATGCTGTTGTCGGCGGAGATCACACATACAGTACGGGTTTAAAATTTGATATGTATTTCCCGAGTGATTACAATAACTGTGACAACTATTGCCACATTCAGTCATTGAATGCAATAATAATAATAATAATAATAAACAAATCATATGTGTTTCCATAGCAATGTATACAAACAATAATGATTCATGATATTTTTTTAAACCAAAAAAAAAACTTCAAAATTTTAATTAATTTATTAATAATTTATAAAAAATATGTATTAATTTTAAAGTAGAAATTGTGTCCAAAATTAAAAATTTATCCATAATTTTGTTATTATTGTTGTTTTACTCTATGTTTTTAGTATTAATACATAAAAATACTGTATTATATCATAATGACAATGCATTTAAAATTTTTAAAAATTTATTTCTAATATTTATATTTTAATTATAAAGGTCATATTTAAAATTAACTATAATTATAAAATTAAAGTATATTTACCAACTATCATGTGCATAATTATTTTTTATACAATTATTATTATTTTTTGTAAAAATTGTTAATATTTTTTTAATATTCAAATTTTATAGCATTTCTACATTTAATATCTAATTCTAATCCTATTATTGAAATATATAAACAAAATATATTTTATATTATTAAAAATTTATATTTTCTATAATTAGTTTAGTATTTAAAGTCATAATAAATCAATGAATTATTAATTTAAATACATTTTAGTTTTTTTTTTAAAAAACCTAAATTTTAATTACTAAATACAAAAATTATATAATAGTTTATAAATTATTATACTTTTTTAAATTAATCAAAGTTTTAATTTAATAACAAATTATAATATTTATCAAAAAAATAATATTATTAAAAAATTGCAAGTCATTAATTTTATTTTTTTATGTAAACATGTTTTTAATAAAATAAATATAATAATAATAATAACAATAATTTTAATTAAAATATTACTATAATTGATATAAATTCATGCAATACAGTAAAGTGTCTTTTTCGAGAAACTTCTAGAAACTTCTAGTATTTTAAAATACTAGTAATCATATGCTAACAGTTAGTACTGCACAAGCGTAACCTACCTGTGCTCTTATATATAGCTATTTTAGTACAAAGTTTCAGTGCAAACACTTGCCTATTGCATCACATATTACTATACTGTATACTAAATCTATCAGAGAGATCATTACACAGCAGTTTTGTTGCAAACTATATAAGCACTGGTAGTTTGCATACAGTTTCTATCAGTCAAAAGTATTTGGAAAAACTATTTTATTATTCATTAAAAGTTATTTTTTGAAAAACTATTGTTTGTGTTAAACAAGTGTTAAACTATTGTAATTTGATTTTAAAAAATAAATAAATAATGGCTTTCTTGGAGATATTGTTACCGCAACTGATGAGATGTGGCCAACAGTGCGGCACTGCCGGTGGCCAGGCATTCAATACGCTTATGGATCAGGACTGGAATCATTGGAAACTGCAGATGCAATCGTGGATGGATGATGTTAATGGACAGATGGGAGCCCAGGGAGCTCCTCCCGGTGCTGCTCCCGCCGCCGCCGCTGGTAATTGTGGCCAACGATGCGGTGCTGAGAGCACTGGCGATGCAGGAGTAGGACAGGGATTGGACGCACTGTTGCGTATGTGGTCACAGTTTGCGACGGCCAACAATCAGCAGCCGTCAAACAGTCGCCAATCATCGGGTGGACAATCATCGGATCAGGTGAAGAACGATTCGCGAAAGTTGGTCATCAAACTAGATGTCCAAAACTTTGAGCCACAGGAACTGTCGGTAAAGATTGTGGACAACCATATTGTGGTCACTGGTGAACATCCCGAACGTACCGATCGACTGAGTCTAATAAGTCGTCGCTTTCAGCGCCGTTATCCACTAACCGACGACATCGATGCCGATACTGTTGTGTCCACTTTGACGGCCGACGGTGTGCTCATTGTCGAGGCTCTGAAAAAGTCGACCGACGACAGACCGGCCGGTGGCGCGATTGTCATACCCGTTGTACGCGAGGGTAGCACTGATGGCGGAGCCGTTGGTGGCCAACAAAAGTCCACAGATTATGAAAATGATCACCAAATGGACTAAAAAAAAAGTTGCTTTAATTTTACTATTTTTTGATTCAATTATTTTTATTTATAAATGATTTGCGACTTTTATGATATTATTATTATTTTATTTTGATATTATATTTATGGTAAATATAAAATAGTTTTATTTATTATTATCTTATATATTATTTTTTGGTTAAAAACACTGATATTTTTTTTAATCACTATATTTTAATTTTTTGTGTTTATTATTATTATTTTAATTATTAATTTTTAATGTATTTTTCCTCTTATTTTAAATGAATAAAATTATTATTAAAAAACCAATATATATGTACTTTGAATATTTTATTTTTATTTTAATTAGGCAATTAATTTTAGTAATATTTCTAAGTTTTTTTTATAAAAATATAACATTTGAGTAAACAAATTATATAATTTTAAGTTTTATATTATAGTAAAATTTGTTAATTATATTAAAATATAAAAATGCTTAGTCATAATATAGTTCAATGTATAATAATTATAATATTTATTAATAATTTATATAATCCAATTAGTAATAATTAATAAAAACCATCATTTTTTTTAGTTAATTATCAAGTAATGTTAAAATTAAATAATTAATAAATTTATATAAATAGATCAATATTATTATAATGATAATAACAATGACAAACAAAAAATTGATTGCTAAAAATAATAATAATAGTTAGTATGACAATAGTATCGTAAATTTACAAACAATGACATTGCAGTTATTATTAACTAATGTAATCAAGTGATACCATTTGACTCAATTAATTATCAGAAATATCGGTAGCTTTTGTTGTTGTGGCGGTAGCGGCGGCGGCTGCGGTAATAATAGTGGTGGCCATTACATTGTGGACAGTGCTTCTCAGCCGCACATGTCTCGACTTGGTGGTCATCATCGTCATCGGTTTATGAGACCTATAGAGTGGGGTAGGGGGGGGACCCAGTGGTAACATTTTGTTAAGATCAGGTATGTATGTATTATTGATATGATCATCTCTTTACCTGATATTGTTAAGTGATGATATTGATGACGATATAGATGCAGATGATGATGACGAAGGCAATGATGATTGCAACGGTTGTCCACTAATAGATTTATCGCCGATTATTGCGGTCACAGATCTTTTGATAGACGGTCTCTTTAGTGGCAAACTAATTGCTGGTGGCGGTGGTTGCGGCGTTTTTGTGATAACCGTTTTCAAAGCATTGTTGGTTTCCCGTGATTTTTGTTGTCTCAATAACAGATCGGTAATGAATACAAAATCCGATTGACCACCGCTGCCGTTACCGATACTGTGATTACCTGCGGCTATATTTTGTCTACTTGGGAGTCCAGTATCGGATAGATTGCGGCTTATTATAGATAGCTGTCCTCCTCCTACTCCTCCATCATCGCAATCAACTAACGGATCGTTGACCAGAGGTTGCTGTCGTTCGGTGTCTAATTGGTCGCCGACAGAGATAGTATAGTCATCGTCGTCGTCATCATCATTATTGTTGTCAACAGTACGGCTGACCGCATATGGTTGGCCACCATTATCATCACCATCGCCAGTGGACAATACGATCATCTTTGACGACCTGCCCGTCCTCCACGGTCGGCCAGGTTTTTGTTTCTTGGGACCCGTTTTGGACGTCATCTCGATCTGAGACTTCTTGTCGATTGCTTGCCTATACATTGAGTCCAGACTGTCGGCCGTCTCAACCAATGCATCTGATTTCGGACAAACACATTGATAGCGCCAGTCGAGCGCCAACTGTCTGTAATTGTCCAAAACATCGGTCAACTGTCTTTCGACGGCCAACTCGCGAACCAGTCGTTTGTTATCGGCGACCAACTTATCAAACAAGTCTTTGCCAATTGATATTTGTTGTGTTGTCATATCCTTTGCTGTGGTCACCACCCGATCACCACACTATCGGGTCGCGCTGCCGTATACTACAAATAGTTGGCCACAAATATAGTTATCAAAAAATAAATAAATAATTTTATTTAACATTCAAAATATCATATGTTATGAAAACATTGTTTTTTATTATTATTGTTATGTTTTTATTAGTAAACGTTTTGTTTAATGTTATATGGATTCCATGACAACAGTAAACAACAACAAACTTTAAACTTCAAACAAAAAATAAAATAATAAAACAATTTTAATTAATTTGTAAATCAATTTCTATTATATATATAGGATATTGATTGTCTTATTATTTGTTAATATATATATATATATATATATAATTATTATTATTACAAATAACAATAATGTGATTTTATTTATATTTAAAAAAATTGTATTAATTTTTATTTATTAAAAAAAAGAAAATTATAATAAACCAGTTGAGAATGCTTTAAAAGCATTTCCACACGAATTCCTTAATTTAAAAAGGAAAAAAAATTTAAAAAAATCAAAAAAAAACAGTTGAGAATGCTTCAAAAGCATTCCCATACGATCTCCTTAACTTAAAAAAGAAAAAAAACCAAAAAAAAATTTTGTAGCGGAGCCTGGATTCGAACCTATGTCCTCGTGGGACAGACAGACCGACAGACTTTTAGAATGCATATACGTATTCCTTTCAGGAATTCGTGATTACTTAATAAAAAAAGTATTATTCAATTGATTGCTATTAATACAAAACTAAACATACAGTAAGTTATGTATGATTTCCAGGAAAACAATAAAAATCAAAAATTAAAAAAAATAAATTAAAATAATGGTTAGGCAAATATTTATTAATTTTGAAAAACTATTTTATTATTTAAAAAAATAGTTTTAATGCAAATACTATGTTAACTGTATGTTAAAAATCTATTAAAATTATGTAAACATTCAATTGTTTATGAAAACAATTATATATCACATAGAATAACATGTATTTATAATAATATGTATATAGTTTTTGTTATATAATTTGTATAATATATATATATATATATACCTATATATATATTTATGTTATGTTTTAGTTTTTTTAAGTATTATATTTTAATACAGTATATAATATAATATATCATAATATGTTTATCTAATTGTCAGACAGTTATATGATATGTTTTTTCGTCTATAAAATCAAATGTAAAATAAATATTAAATCTGAATACATGTATAAATCGTATAGTATTTCTAAAATAACTATCACTTGTGAAGTGATGGACAACAATCATAATAAGTCATCATTTGATCGGTTCGGCGATGATTTGGCCGCACATATACTGTCTTATCTATCACTTAAAGATCAGCTTTACTTACAATGTGTATCCAAACAGTTCCAGTCGTTTGGTTTACAACTGAGAACAACTATCACATCAATTGATACGTCAATTATGAATTTGATTGATATAAATATTGCCGGCGAAGCATACTTTGATACCTATATGTGGTTATCATTGATGAAGAAGTGTCCAAATGTTCGTATGGTTAGTATCGATAGAAACGAAATCAAAAGAAAGTTTATTTTGCAAACTATTTGTCGATTTCGGACACACTATTGGCCACAATTGCGGCGAATTGATTGCGATATCAGCAAAATGACCGCCGAAGACATAAAGTTTTTGTGCGAAGAATTTCCGGATAAATTGTCTAAAATATGGGTCAATGAAGAAACAATAATCCATTCATTGAAACCATATCTGTCGTCGTTGACTAACCTACGAGATCTAACTGTTCGCAAAATAGACGACACATTTATGGACAACCAATTGATGGTCAAACAATTATATCGATTGGCATTTATTTTACAGAATAACAATACATTGGACACCAATCAGATCCAGACGTTATTTAATGGCAACAATCAACTCAATAGTATTACAATACACTTTACGGTCAGTGATTCGGCTGACAGTGTTGTCGCTATGCTATCACTTATCGGCCAGCGATTACAACGACTGCAACAATTGGAGCTAATGTTTTTGCCACAAATAAACTACTCGATAGCCGAGCCATTGATGACAATTGCCAACAGTTGTCGGCAACTAAAGTATTTTTCGTTAAATCTATTAGTAGACTCAATGGCCACTTATATGGATACATACAATGCTATCAAACACATGAACCGATTAACTAAATTAAATCTAAAACTTAATTATAATAACAATAGTATAAATCTAGTGACTGATCGCAATCTGTATGCATCGCTCAAACCCGTCGACTGTTGGCCACAATTAACTCATTTGACACTTAAGTTATCGCATATTGATTGCCAATTGTTTACTGATTTGCACCAAAATCTACCGAAACTTCAATCACTATATATTACTGATCGTTTCGGTGTATTAGACGGCATATGTATGTCATTCATATCGCAACTCAGATCATTGACACACTTATACATTGTCACCACTAGACACGTATCGATAGGTTATTCAGATGTGGATCAAGTGATCTACCGGTGCCTCAAACTGAGAGAAATTGAAATTTTTGATTTGCAAACATTTTCAATTAGTTATAATGAAAAAGAAATACATTTATTTCGTACAGAATAATGATTTATTTAATTTATGAGATTAAAAAATGCATTAATTTATATATTATTTTATTATAACACTATTATAATTACTGTAACATTTTTTTTAATACTTTACTAACTATTTATAATACTATATTAATACACCTATTTTACAGTATATGATAACTAAAGCATCAAAAAATATTTATTTAAAAATTGAAAATATTCAATAAAATATTTACTAAAAAAACTACCAAAATATTTACTTAAATATTTATTTATTTTTTTCTAAATAATCATTTATTAGTAAAAAATATATTATATATTTAATCAATTTGTAATTTATTTAAATCTCTATTTAAATTACAGTATTACAAATTGAAATTATATTTTTAATTAAGAAAAGTTTTTTTATCTAATATTTTTGCTAATTTTTATATCATAGTTATTTGTATATATTTACTATTCTTTAAAAACTATAATTTTAAGAAAAAACTCTGAAATATTTAGTACTTTATAATCTATTTTTAGTTTATTTATAGTTTTAAGTTAAAATATTTAATTACATTTACTAAAAACACAAAATATTTAATTAAATATTTCTTATTTATTTATCACCAAAATATGTATTTTATTTAATTAAATATTTTTTATTTTATTTAATTAAATATATTTTGATGCACTAATGATAACTTAATAAATTATATTATGATTTACTATTAGTTTTAAACAATTATTATTATTATTATTATAAAAATTGATTAACTTTTCAAATACTAACTGATTTTTTTTATTATACCAATTTTAATTATACAGTAAAATTAATTTATAATAACCTTTTTTTATTATATGTTTAGATTTTAATAAAAAATAATTTAAATAAATTCACTTTATACTAATATAAATATATTTTTTTTAATTTAATTGCATTTGAAAACTATGGAAATCAATTCAATAAAAAAAAGTTTTATGTACAGTATAATATATCATAACTTATTTGTTTGTATGATTGAAATTAAAAAAAAATAAACAACAAATAGTTGAATATTTAAACTAAATATTTAGCATTGAATTTGAAAAACATTTCAATATATAGTATTCAAACATATAAACTGATTGTATGTTTCAATCAATGTTTGTATGTTTTGTACGGTTTGATTGATTGATTCATTCAATCATTCATTTATTCATTGATTGATTGATTGGTTCATAGATTTCAGTTGAACTGAGAAAAACAGGTTTTACTTTTGAAACACATTTTCAAAACAAAAACAATAGTTTTTTTTTTTAAAATAGTTTTTCTTTTAAAAAATTATTTTTTTGTTCAAATTTATTGCTATATTTTTTTGTAAGTATTATATTTTATAAAACTTTTTTTTGACACTAGAACTGGTCATCAATTAATTGTCTTATCATTTGTTAATATATATATATATATATATAGCGATCACAACAACAATAGTATCACTTGGAAGTGATGGACAAAAACAATAATAATAAGAAGTCATCATTTGATCGGTTCGGCGATGATTTGGCGGCACTTATACTAACATATCTGCCATTTGAAGATCAGTTTCCATTAGAGTGTGTTTCCAAACAGTTCCAGTCGTCGGGTATTAGAAGACAAACAAACATTACATCAGAGGACACATCAGTGTTGAATCTGATGGGCAAAAGTCTTTCGCAGGATTCAAAAGAGTACTTCGATACCAATAAATGGTTATTACTGATGAAGAAGTGTCCAAATGTTCAAACCGTCGACATTACACGTGATATAAGACAGCAAGAGATGATCATTTTGCGTACAATTCATCGATTTCGGTCAGATTATTGGCCACAGTTGCGGCAAATTGATTGTTATACTGAATCAATGTCCGTAAAGGACATACAGTTTTTATGCGAAATATTTCCCAAAATGATTAGAAAATTATATATTAAAACTGATAATGAAATCAAACAAATAAGACCATACCTGTCATCGATGGTCAACTTTCGCCAACTAACTACTTGGACAATAGACCAAACGTTTGTCGGCGACCAACTGGCCATTAATGGTTTGCATCGATACGCTAACTATAGATTCGGTGCTAATATGATGACCCGATTCGAGACGTTTATCTCAGGCAACACTGATCTCATGGGTCTTAAACTGCATTTCCTATTCGATGATACTTCGGCTACTGTTGTCGCTGTTCTTGGACTTATCGGACGATTACAGCGATTGCAACAATTGGACATAATTTATAATAGAAAACCATTGGACAAAACAATAGTCAGCGCATTGATGTCGATTGCCGACAGTTGTCTGCGTCTGAAATATTTTAGGCTATATATTAAAGTGGATTCGTTGGCCACTTATATGAAAACATACAGTTCAGTCAAACAGATGAAACAATTGAAACGATTAAATCTTGATCTACATGTCCGCAGCAATAGTAGTAGTAGTAGTAGTGATAGTAATCTATTAATTGGTTGTAAACTATATGCAACACTCAAACCGGTCGACTGTTGGCCACAATTGACTCATTTGATACTTAATTTATCGCATTTGGATTATCAATTTTTTACTGATTTAGACCGAAACGTACCGAAACTCCAGTTTCTGCAACTAAGAGATCCATTCGGTGTATTAGACGGCATATGTTAGTCGTTTATATCGAAACTTAAATCACTAACTAGTTTAACAATTTCTACCAAAAGTGAATCAATTAGCGAATCGGATGTACGCCTAGTGGTCAACGGTTGCCGCAAATTGTTGTCAATTGAAATTAGATGTAAAAAATCTTATAATGTTAACTATAATGACGAAAATATATGTTCATTGCGTAAACTATCATCAAATCATTAATATCTTATTATTTTTTTTTAGTACAATACTATTAATATTATTTTTAAAAAAATATTTTTCCTTATATTGATATACTCTATCATTATATTGAAAATAATTGAAAATGAATTAATAACTTTTGTGTAGTTTATTATTTAAAAAAAAAGTTTTATTATTAAGTTTATTGCATAACAAATAAAAAAAAGTTATCCATGATTTTCATGGAAACAGTAAATACATTTACAAACCATAAGTAAGTAGTATTGAAGAATCAATACATTTAATGAAAGTACATATTTTTTATTTAAAAAAAAATCCAATTTATTAATTAAATATTAATTAAATAACAATATATGATTTACAAATGTTATATAAGTAATGTTTTAAAAAAATGTATAAATAATTATTTGGTTTATTAATAGTTTTCAAATAGTTTTTTATTGCAAGTTATGTTTGTTATTGATTTCCATAGAAACTGTAAACATTGTGTGTAAACATTTAAAAAATTAAAATAAAGTAAATAAACAATAATTAGTTGAACGCAAAAAAAATATTTGATTGAAATATTTATTTTTTTTATATAAAAAAATCTATGAAATAATTGTATTGTTTTTTTTGTGTTATTTTTCTAATCAATTTTTATATAAATTTTTGTAAGTTATTTCACACAATCAGTCTATTTATTGTCTTAATTATATAATTTGTTGATTTGATGAAACATTAAACATTGTTAATATAAAACTTTTATTATAAAAGTAAACAAACAATTAGTTGAATACAACTATTGATATAATATTGCATTGAATTTGAAATATATATATAAATTAAATATATATTAATAGTATTAAAACTGATTGTGTGTTTCAATCAATTGTTTTTTTTGTTGTTATATATTTGTTTCAATCTATTGCAAAGTATTAGTTATTTCATAATATTGTTTAATATAACAACCGATGGGTCTATTAATTGATTGTCTTATTATTTCATTGTTTTTTTAGCAATCACTACAACAACAACAATGGTATCACCGCTTGTGATGAACAATAAGAAGTCATCATTTGATCGGTTCGGCGATGATTTGGCGGCACTTATACTAACATATCTATCAATTAGTTGAACTAATTTTTTTTGACAAAACATTTCAATTGATATATCTGTAAGTAGTTTACACCACAAGAACTATCACTAAATATATTTACAGTTAATTAAAACTGTTTTTACATAACAATCGGTCTATTAATTGATTGTCTTATCATTTCATTTGTTTCAATAGCAATCACAACACAAGTGATGGACACAAACGACAATAATAAGTCATCATTTGATCGCTTTGGCGATGATTTGGCTGAACTTATCCTAAGATATCTATCACTTGAAGATCAGTTGCGTTTAGAGTGTGTATCCAAACAGTTCCAGTCGTTGGGTATTCATCGACTGACACACATAATAGTCTCATACGATATGATGAATAAACTGAATTATAGGACAAGTTTTTCGGGCAAACAGTACTTCGACAACAAAAACTGGTTCTCACTGATGAAGAAGTGTCCAAATGTTTCTGTCGTTGATATTATTTTGTCGTTTAGCTGTCAAGCGATACAAATTATAAGAGCCATACATATGTTTCGTACATTTTGGCCACAATTGAGCGAAATTTATTGCCCGATTAACCCGTTGAGAGACAAAGACAGCAAATTTTTGTGCAAAATGTTTACCAAAATAATTAGAAAACTTGTTTTCCGCGATAGAGAACAACTAAATGAAATAAAACCATATTTTCCATCAATGACTACACTTCGGGAGCTAATAGTTCCCCAAATAGATGATACATTCCTCGGCAACCAATTAGTGGTCAAAAATTTACGACGATTTAGTTGTCATACTTCTGATAATATGGTAATACCATTCAAGACATTCATTGATGGCAACAGTCATCATCTGAAAAGTCTTAAATTGTTTATCAATTCTACGGATACTGAAGATACTGTTGTTGTCGCTGTTCTGTCACTTATCGGCCGATTTGAAAGACTACAAGAATTGAATCTATTATTTCTATCATCAGTTAACTACTCGATAGCCCAGTCATTGATGACAATTGCCAACAGTTGTCGGCGACTAAAGTCATTAGATTTATCTATAGAAGTGGATTCATTGACCACTTATATGGATACATATAATGCCGTCAAACACATGAAACAATTAAAACGATTGGATTTATATATCTATTATTATACTAACGATAATAATTTAAGTGATCATCACTCAGACCTACAACCGATCAACTGTTGGTCACAATTGACTCATTTGACACTTCGGTTATCGCATTATTCACGGCAATTGTTTACCGATTTCAACCGAAATCTGCCGAAACTTCAATATCTATACTTTGACGACATATTCGGTTTAATTGATGTCAATTGTCTGTCATTTATATCGAGAATAAAATCATTGATGAGTTTAGTGATTGAAACCGTAAATAATAAATATATCAATGAATCGGATGTGAACCAAGTGGTCAACGGTTGCCGCAAATTGAAACCAATCATTATTAGTGTTAAATTCATATCTTTTTAACTAATTTTTTTTAAACTCTTTATTTTAATACAAATAAAATGATAAAAATATATAAACATTTCTAATAGTATTTGTAATTTAATTTATAAAAAAAAATTATATTAATTTACCGGTAATTAGCAGAAGATAAAACTGTTTGCATTTTTTTTTTTTCTGATATCACATTAGGTCTGGATTTTGATGAATCAGTGCAACGACACTGAAATTCAAATCAGTCGGATCTTTGGCCACCAATTGTCGTATCAATCGGACGGCATCTAACAGAAAGTTTTCATCGCTAGTCTGACAGTGTTTTACCGGTTTTGGTTGACTGCCATCCAAATGATACAGATAGCCGTTATTGTGAACCAATGCTACGAAATGTCCGCTAACATTGTCATCGGCAGCCGGTATAGTTGACTGACCATCGCTGGCGCACTCGTGATGAGCACTACAGATATCTTTGCTAACCTCCAATAGCCGACCTCTTTCTTCAGGCGTCGACAACTGTCGACACTTATCGATATAATTCTTAAGACTTGAATTCTCTTGAAGAACAATTCGATGACAATTGTTGGCCACTGAATGAATTAGAGCAACGGTTCCGCAGACATGACGAATGGTTTGTTTCATGAAAAAGACATTTTGCCGATTGTCGTCATCCATGGTGTTATCGATGGTGTCTTGGATTATACTTAGTACGTGTTTGTGAACTGTTTCCGGATATAATAGGATCAGTGCCACAACTGGTCCGCCAATGAATTCTAACAACTCTTCATCTAAACCGTAAACATCGACAACAGACCAGTCTTTAGGGACACCAATAGTCCATAAAAACTTGTTCATAGCGTCCGGATTGGACTCCAATGGTGTCCACTGTATTTCATTTTTTTCTTCATCAGTCATTGTGTCAGTCAATGAAATCAATTATTTAATTGAATTATAATTTATAAATAACTTAAACGTAAATCAAATGTTTTTTTTTTGTTTCAATCATTTTTACTAAACAATCCTAGAGTTCACCGCTTGTCTCATATATACAGTATATATAGCACTAAATTAACAATTTGTTTGATTACTATAGAGATCCGATTGTAATAACATTTTCTAAAACCTATTCACATAATTGATAAACAAAAATCAAAAACCACTTATAAACGGGATTGACTGAACTGCGGTCAGCAATGGGAAATTCTGCGGTCGGCTAATACTCGAATACGGTAGGTCAGATGTTGCGGTCACCAATAGAAAAGTTGTAGAGGACAAAAAGTTTATGTTGAAATGTATGGTCAAAAAAAATATCTGACCACTAGGGACCACATAAAAAAATTAAAACTTGTATTTTATAACTAATGATGCTGCGGTCAGCCATATCTCGAATATGGTTGGTCAGATGTTGCGGTCACCAATAGAAAAGTTGTAGAGGACAAAAAGTTTATGTTGAAATGTATGGTCAAAAAAAATATCTGACCACTAGGGACCACATAAAAAAATTAAAACTTGTATTTTATAACTAATGATGCTGCGGTCAGCCATATCTCGAATATGGTTGGTCAGATGTTGCGGTCACCAATAGAAAAGTTGTAGAGGACAAAAAGTTTATGTTGAAATGTATGGTCAAAAAAAATATCTGACCACTAGGGACCACATAAAAAAATTAAAACTTGTATTTTATAACTAATGATGCTGCGGTCAGCCATATCTCGAATATGGTTGGTCAGATGTTGCGGTCACCAATAGAAAAGTTGTAGAGGACAAAAAGTTTATGTTGAAATGTATGGTCAAAAAAAATATCTGACCACTAGGGACCACATAAAAAAATTAAAACTTGTATTTTATAACTAATGATGCTGCGGTCAGCCATATCTCGAATATGGTTGGTCAGATGTTGCGGTCACCAATAGAAAAGTTGTAGAGGACAAAAAGTTTATGTTGAAATGTATGGTCAAAAAAAATATCTGACCACTAGGGACCACATAAAAAAATTAAAACTTGTATTTTATAACTAATGATGCTGCGGTCAGCCATATCTCGAATATGGTTGGTCAGATGTTGCGGTCACCAATAGAAAAGTTGTAGAGGACAAAAAGTTTATGTTGAAATGTATGGTCAAAAAAAATATCTGACCACTAGGGACCACATAAAAAAATTAAAACTTGTATTTTATAACTAATGATGCTGCGGTCAGCCATATCTCGAATATGGTTGGTCAGATGTTGCGGTCACCAATAGAAAAGTTGTAGAGGACAAAAAGTTTATGTTGAAATGTATGGTCAAAAAAAATATCTGACCACTAGGGACCACATAAAAAAATTAAAACTTGTATTTTATAACTAATGATGCTGCGGTCAGCCATATCTCGAATATGGTTGGTCAGATGTTGCGGTCACCAATAGAAAAGTTGTAGAGGACAAAAAGTTTATGTTGAAATGTATGGTCAAAAAAAATATCTGACCACTAGGGACCACATAAAAAAATTAAAACTTGTATTTTATAACTAATGATGCTGCGGTCAGCCATATCTCGAATATGGTTGGTCAGATGTTGCGGTCACCAATAGAAAAGTTGTAGAGGACAAAAAGTTTATGTTGAAATGTATGGTCAAAAAAAATATCTGACCACTAGGGACCACATAAAAAAATTAAAACTTGTATTTTATAACTAATGATGCTGCGGTCAGCCATATCTCGAATATGGTTGGTCAGATGTTGCGGTCACCAATAGAAAAGTTGTAGAGGACAAAAAGTTTATGTTGAAATGTATGGTCAAAAAAAATATCTGACCACTAGGGACCACATAAAAAAATTAAAACTTGTATTTTATAACTAATGATGCTGCGGTCAGCCATATCTCGAATATGGTTGGTCAGATGTTGCGGTCACCAATAGAAAAGTTGTAGAGGACAAAAAGTTTATGTTGAAATGTATGGTCAAAAAAAATATCTGACCACTAGGGACCACATAAAAAAATTAAAACTTGTATTTTATAACTAATGATGCTGCGGTCAGCCATATCTCGAATATGGTTGGTCAGATGTTGCGGTCACCAATAGAAAAGTTGTAGAGGACAAAAAGTTTATGTTGAAATGTATGGTCAAAAAAAATATCTGACCACTAGGGACCACATAAAAAAATTAAAACTTGTATTTTATAACTAATGATGCTGCGGTCAGCCATATCTCGAATATGGTTGGTCAGATGTTGCGGTCACCAATAGAAAAGTTGTAGAGGACAAAAAGTTTATGTTGAAATGTATGGTCAAAAAAAATATCTGACCACTAGGGACCACATAAAAAAATTAAAACTTGTATTTTATAACTAATGATGCTGCGGTCAGCCATATCTCGAATATGGTTGGTCAGATGTTGCGGTCACCAATAGAAAAGTTGTAGAGGACAAAAAGTTTATGTTGAAATGTATGGTCAAAAAAAATATCTGACCACTAGGGACCACATAAAAAAATTAAAACTTGTATTTTATAACTAATGATGCTGCGGTCAGCCATATCTCGAATATGGTTGGTCAGATGTTGCGGTCACCAATAGAAAAGTTGTAGAGGACAAAAAGTTTATGTTGAAATGTATGGTCAAAAAAAATATCTGACCACTAGGGACCACATAAAAAAATTAAAACTTGTATTTTATAACTAATGATGCTGCGGTCAGCCATATCTCGAATATGGTTGGTCAGATGTTGCGGTCACCAATAGAAAAGTTGTAGAGGACAAAAAGTTTATGTTGAAATGTATGGTCAAAAAAAATATCTGACCACTAGGGACCACATAAAAAAATTAAAACTTGTATTTTATAACTAATGATGCTGCGGTCAGCCATATCTCGAATATGGTTGGTCAGATGTTGCGGTCACCAATAGAAAAGTTGTAGAGGACAAAAAGTTTATGTTGAAATGTATGGTCAAAAAAAATATCTGACCACTAGGGACCACATAAAAAAATTAAAACTTGTATTTTATAACTAATGATGCTGCGGTCAGCCATATCTCGAATATGGTTGGTCAGATGTTGCGGTCACCAATAGAAAAGTTGTAGAGGACAAAAAGTTTATGTTGAAATGTATGGTCAAAAAAAATATCTGACCACTAGGGACCACATAAAAAAATTAAAACTTGTATTTTATAACTAATGATGCTGCGGTCAGCCATATCTCGAATATGGTTGGTCAGATGTTGCGGTCACCAATAGAAAAGTTGTAGAGGACAAAAAGTTTATGTTGAAATGTATGGTCAAAAAAAATATCTGACCACTAGGGACCACATAAAAAAATTAAAACTTGTATTTTATAACTAATGATGCTGCGGTCAGCCATATCTCGAATATGGTTGGTCAGATGTTGCGGTCACCAATAGAAAAGTTGTAGAGGACAAAAAGTTTATGTTGAAATGTATGGTCAAAAAAAATATCTGACCACTAGGGACCACATAAAAAAATTAAAACTTGTATTTTATAACTAATGATGCTGCGGTCAGCCATATCTCGAATATGGTTGGTCAGATGTTGCGGTCACCAATAGAAAAGTTGTAGAGGACAAAAAGTTTATGTTGAAATGTATGGTCAAAAAAAATATCTGACCACTAGGGACCACATAAAAAAATTAAAACTTGTATTTTATAACTAATGATGCTGCGGTCAGCCATATCTCGAATATGGTTGGTCAGATGTTGCGGTCACCAATAGAAAAGTTGTAGAGGACAAAAAGTTTATGTTGAAATGTATGGTCAAAAAAAATATCTGACCACTAGGGACCACAAAAAAATTTTAAAAAATTAAAAAAAAAATTGCGGTCAATGATTAACTGTAAAACTAGTGGTCAGATCTTGTTTTTTAACAAATAAAAGATTTAGACAATAAAGTTAGGCAATAAAGACAAACAACAATGATTCACTTAAACTAATTTAAGTCACACAACCAGTGTACATTACAAATAAAACCTTAATTTTTTATTTTATAAAAGTGACGGTCAATGATTATTTAAAGAACTATTGTCAGATCTATAAAAGTTGTTGACAATTAAAAGAAAGGAACAATAATTCTCCTGATAATCACTGACCGCCATTTTTTAAATAAAAAATTTAAATTTTATTTATAGATCCCCTTGTAAACCTAAATCTATTAATTGTATTTTTAATTGTACACAACAATTTTATCTTTGACCGCAAGATCTGACCAACCATATTCGAGATATGGCTGACCGCAGCATCATTAGTTATAAAATACAAGTTTTAATTTTTTTATGTGGTCCCTAGTGGTCAGATATTTTTTTTGACCATACATTTCAACATAAACTTTTTGTCCTCTACAACTTTTCTATTGGTGACCGCAACATCTGACCAACCATATTCGAGATATGGCTGACCGCAGCATCATTAGTTATAAAATACAAGTTTTAATTTTTTTATGTGGTCCCTAGTGGTCAGATATTTTTTTTGACCATACATTTCAACATAAACTTTTTGTCCTCTACAACTTTTCTATTGGTGACCGCAACATCTGACCAACCATATTCGAGATATGGCTGACCGCAGCATCATTAGTTATAAAATACAAGTTTTAATTTTTTTATGTGGTCCCTAGTGGTCAGATATTTTTTTTGACCATACATTTCAACATAAACTTTTTGTCCTCTACAACTTTTCTATTGGTGACCGCAACATCTGACCAACCATATTCGAGATATGGCTGACCGCAGCATCATTAGTTATAAAATACAAGTTTTAATTTTTTTATGTGGTCCCTAGTGGTCAGATATTTTTTTTGACCATACATTTCAACATAAACTTTTTGTCCTCTACAACTTTTCTATTGGTGACCGCAACATCTGACAAACCATATTCGAGATATGGCTGACCGCAGCATCATTAGTTATAAAATACAAGTTTTAATTTTTTTATGTGGTCCCTAGTGGTCAGATATTTTTTTTGACCATACATTTCAACATAAACTTTTTGTCCTCTACAACTTTTCTATTGGTGACCGCAACATCTGACCTACCGTATTCGAGTATTAGCCG